GGTCTCCCTCCTCTCATGTTTTATGGTGGTAGAGAAGGATTTCATTGGTACTTTCATATTTTTAAAAACAAATACAATAAACTTTAAAATGTCAAAAATTTGAAAGAGGCCACACCGTCGAGCAAATACAATGAAAGACACAGAGAAAAGAAGAGTTGTCCCGGGACATTCGCCTTTGTGCAAGACGCTCATGTCCACTCAGGTGATGTCACTTCTTTTGTAAGCATGCAGCGTGGACTTGATTGGTCTCAGCTGGCAACGATTAATGAGGCAGAGTGCACGAGCCGGCGGGAGCCCCGTGACCCCGGGCCCTCTGAAATATCATAATTACAACAGTAACAGGCTCAGTGTGAGTAACTGCTCACGTCACACTGAGCGCCGTGTCCTCGAGGACGTCCGACTAGAAACCTGAAATGTGCAAAGTGAAACCTGACAACATGATTCAGGATTCCAATTCTTCAACTCTTTGATCCAGTTTTAGTAGATTTACCTTGAACATCAGAAAATAATGTAAAAACTTGATTAGCATTTCCATCACTTTCTCTAACATTGCGAGACTGAGCACTGAATGTGAATCCCAAAACACAATATTTCCACATCATTAACAAATATGTATTCAGATAAGACGTTATTTATCCCAAAGGAAAGTCTTGTGTCAGTTTGCTCCAACATTACACAACAGAACAATTTATATTAGAATAGAACACAGTGAAAATAACAAGAATTAAGTCTAGACTGTAAATGAAGATCAAAGTATAAGAAATAATGTTTATTGTAAATGAAATCAAAATAGTAGTAATAATAGTAATGCAGAACCAGTGCCAACCATAGAAATGAGAATAAGATAAGCATAAGCAAAGTTACATTAGACAGAGAAACTAATACTTAACTAAGGTGGTATTAAGTTGTAATGAAATGATAAAGTGAGAGAAAGTAATGTGGGACATTGCACATGATATTGATATTGAACATATTTAATGTGAATTAATTTACACCCAGTAGGATGAACCATGGTTGTTTCTTTGGAGGACATGAACTGAATGAAACATCTGCCTGGAGCCCACACAACTCTCCACATTCGCTCTGATATTGTGAAAATATTTATCATTTTACAAGATGTATATAATCTGTGAGAAGGAGTGACACGTGCTGCTTGGTGACTCTGTTTTTTGGAACTCTGTATGTTACATTCACCAATTCACAGAGCGTCCTGCATAATCCTCTCATAAGAGGATGATGGAGACTGAGCGAGAGACAGCGATGGAGGTTGACGGTAAAAATATTATGTAACGCCAGACGCCCTGGTCATCACATCTGTGTGCCAATTGATCCTCCATTGTGCTGCATTTCTCCCCTCAGCCCATCCACCTCAGTCCTCCTGTATGAGAATGATTTCACCCTTGTTTGACCTCTAAAGTCGTGGGTCCGATTTTTTAAAGGGTGGTAGCTTTAGGATTTCTTTCTAATTTTTTAAATGGAAATGTCTGCAGATAATTTTGATAGTGGTGTCTCCCCCTTCCTCCATGAGCCTCTCACTGTCCCTGAAGTGAACAGATTGGGTCTCGGTGGGACTGTGTCACCCAGGGAGACACCCTCCTCCCCATCCTGTCACACCACTTTTTTTCCCCCCTCTCTCCTGTGGACACACACACACACACACAC